GCACTCATGTCAATCTTCACAGAACTCCACCCAAAAGATATCTGCAAAGGGAAAATATCATTCAGGTCTAGAACATTTCAACTGCTGAAACAAAGCAAGATAGCAAGAAGGAATCTGGCTCTGAAGGTAAATGTCCAACTTCTGACAGGTTTATAATGCAAGCGGAGTAATTTAAAAAAAAAAAAAAGCTTCAAAATATTTTTCTTTTGTCTTCATCAGCATGGTTTTTTTGCTAGATGGAGACCTTTGAGATGGAAAGTGAAACCACAAATACCATCTTGCCAGCTCTGCAAGCCCAAAATCAGCAAAAAATATCTGGACTCCAGCATGTTAACAAAAACACATTCATCAGTGCCAGACAGACAACGTTTGCATGGAACAGTACCCATTTTCCGTGCAAATGCTACAGGTTTTCCTGTGAAAGCTTTGGCAGATAGCAGTTCTCAACATTGTCACTCTGAACTCAGCTGTTACAAATTCAGCTTCATCTGTTACACTCAGCTCATGTTATCAAGCTCTTCATTGCAGCCACAAAGGCTGAAATCAAAGCTCAGAATCGTAACCATGGATCTGAGATAAGGGGTGTGCTGCAGAACAACCTTTGCTCATTGTTGCTACAGGTAAAGTTTTCCACTTCAAAAACACAAACTAACATTTAATTTTAGTCCCAAATATAATGTACTTTTCTTTCCTTGAAGAAATGGACACAACTGTAAAAAAGTGGTAAGTAAAAGACAATAAATAGCATCTAACTTGTGTGTTGGAAATAAATAGCAGCGAGTTTCTGTGGCAGTCATTACACAGCCTGTCTTTCTCTATATATAAAATGCTACTCAGAAATTGTCTGAAGACAATGTAAAGCATCAGGAAACTCTCTGTGATTATGACAAGCAACAGGGGAAAAAAAGGAATGAAAACAGAAACAACTTTCCCTGAATACTCCTCCAATTAATATATATACTTTTTATAGGTAGAGAGCAGAACTAAGAGCACATATTGAAACAACAGCAAGGAACTCCACATGCTGCTTCTCAGAAAAGCAAATAATCTCGTTCTTCCAGAGATAGCTTACACATCTGACTTAAATAATACTTAAAGCATTCAATTATGTTTTCTTACTCTGTTGTAAAGCTGAGTGTACATAGTCATAACAAATATGAAAGAAGCGTGAATGCATCCCAGTGGAGCTAAGAGGAGAAACAGAGTGAAAGATGCATGATTCTGGTATCCACAACAGTTGTTGATCCAAGGACAGTGGTGATCCATCTTCATGACGCATCTGTGAATAATAAATATTGATTAATATAAAAGACACATTTTTCAAAAAGCTCAAGGGACAGTTAACTTTCTATTATTCCAACACCATTCATTCATCAAAACCCACCAATTTCCAACAGACTAACACAGTAGTTTCTTCTTTTGTTGCTATTCAGAATTTTATTTCCACACTGTAAAATGAAAGAAAGCAAATAAAAAGTCCTTCCAGGTCCTACCCTTCCTAGTTATCTGTTCTTCCCTTTTCTCAAACCTGCTAGTTGCTAAAAACCAGCATATTCCAGAGCCAGGAGACAGAGTCATAGGACAGGACCTGTAAGAACTATCATCACAATAATTAAGCACTAGTATTATTGCTCATTTTTTAAAATAAGCACACCAGAAAAATAAAGGAAATTTCAGATTCCCTGTGAACTACCTGCAGAAAAAATATTTAAAGTTACACAGATGCAAGTGTGTTAGTGCCTCTTTATTTTCAGGAGTAAACACTGAAAGCTTCCTCAGCTGTTGTGTATTGATCTCACACCACTGAGAATCCTTCTCAAAATATATTTAACAAGTGTAAGCAGCCTAGAGACACTCTTGCATTCAACCTAAAGTTGGTTATTTTGGTGTAGCTTACAGGTACAAAAAACCCCCACCTGTTGCAAGATTTGTTCACATCCCAAATTAGCTTAACAGGTGCAAAAGTAAGTGAACACCTAAGTGATCAGTCCTCAGTGTAAAGATTGTCACTCAAGGAAAGGAGCCTCAAATTTTAAATCTGGAGATAATACAGCCAAATTACAGCACAGATCTAGAGTTTCGACTTCCTAAAAACACAGTGTCTTTATAAAAATAACAAATGAACATGTATGTTGCAATATCCTTTTACCCCACTCTTTAACAATCCTTCACAGGACGACCTGCCCTGTAAACCCAAGATAAATGCAACCACAGCCTGGACTGCAGACAGCTGAAGTGCCTTGATTTTTGCAAGCTGCACTAAAGTCCAGTGCAGTGATTTATAATAAAAGCATCTTTTGTATCAGAACAAGTCTGTTGGAAGATAACAAAGTACAAACTTCTGAAAATGACCTAAAAAAGGTTTACTGCCTCCTTAACATGCAGACTCCTCTCAAAAAAACCCTCTTTAGTGAAGAGTAAAGAATAGTACAAAATTTCAACTCAAATCAACGTTTAACTCACTTTTGGAAAGAGGACAGAAAAGATTTTTCTACTCCCTCAGCAGGTGAATATTTGGACTCAGAACTTAAAAAAGACTCAAAGACTTTTAGGTATTTACACACACTCACGTCCCTGAAGCAGGACTGCACTGTTTTGTTAGTAGTGTCAAGAAGTTCTTAGGAGAAACTGATTTCAAGCTATAAAGAAAACGTTAAAGACATTTATTTATTAAACTAAAACACAGTAAAACTGTATAGAAGTCATACAACTACAAAGTGGGAATATTTGTAATGGGTATAGTGTTCACATGGAAGCTTTTTAAAAAAAGCACAATACAAGTTCTGGAAGAACAAGTTATAGTAATAGCCTATGATTAGATTTTTAAGCTGCTTTAATATGGACTTTAAATACTTTTAAAGAAAGACAGTACCTGTTACACTTTCGACAGTGGTGTGAACGAGGTGCCTTGTAAGACTGACACACTTTACAGTATTGGAGATACATGCAATCCTGAGATTTTTCCTTTAAACAGAAGAAGAGGCGTGTTAGATGTATTCATAACTTCACTAACAGCGCGCATCTCGGCATTTTCCTAACCTAAGCACATTTGATTGCTTCTGAAAGGGTTTCACAGTCCAACACTATTTAAAGGTAGGTGGCAAAGAGATTAAGAAACAAAATGAAATAATCTCTTAGCTAATCTGGATATCAACACAGCCATCTCCCACTGCTGAAAGTGCTGGTTGCTAAAAGAAACAAAAAGTTCTTCAGTCAGCAAGATCAACCATACAAGCAGGATTTCATAGTGAAGTTCTGAGACTAAAAATCAGCATGAGGCCTTTATAATTAAAACAAACAAACAATCTTGTGCCCCTTGTCTCTCCATTTTATTCCAAAAGCCAATCTAGGGTTACTACTAAAATACAGTATTGGTAAGCATTAATGTTCCATCTATCTCCCATAATCTCTCTTACACACACACACTAACTACAGCAAGATGAGAGAGAGAGACACCTGTTGATGGCCACTAGTAATCTAGGCCAAAATCTTCCCTTCACGAAGTGGAATACCCACTTCTGCTAAGACTACATCAGGATTCTCTTCTGACTAGACTCTGTCCCGAGTAATATTCCACAAGTAGAAATGTGACTATTACTGAACTTTTTATTGTGTCACTAGAACACAAAATTCTGGGCAGCTGCCTTGAGACTCTGAACCTCTATCATTCTGATCCTTTACTACTCTTTCTTCCAAGGGATTACTGAAGCACAGGAAAGGCAAACTTCCATCTTGTACTGCATTAAGCATAAGATTAACACGTAACTGTCTGGCTCACATAAAAAAAAAAAAAATCCGAGTTAATTTCTTGTAATTGTTACTGCTGGTAGCAAAGCCTCCAGTACAAGTGTCTGCAGGAGCGTGCAGATAATCCTGAAGTTCTCAAGTGTTGCTAACACTACTTGTTTCCTGTGTTTGTTGTTGTTTTTTTTTTTTTTTTTTTTTTTTTTTTTTTTTTTTTTTTTTTTTTTTTTTTTTTTTTTTTTTTTTTTTTTTTTTTTTTTTTTTTTTTTTTTTTTTTTTTTTTTTTTTTTTTTTTTTTTTTTTTTGCTTTGAAAAGCCCCTATAAAGCACAGAGAGCGGACTGGGAACGATGGGAGAAGTAGCAACTAAGCGCGGGGCGGGAAGGGAGTGGGGAGGAAAGGGAAGAAGCGGAAAGGGAAGATTTCGAAACAAGGTAAGGAGGGAGGAGTGGCCTGCGAGCCCGGAGCGTTCTTAGAGGACAGAGTTGGCACGGAAAGGCACGCGGTTTGTGCCCCTGTGTGCCCGCGGGAGAGCAGGGCCCCGGCGGCCTCACGGCAGCGCTTACCGGCGTCCACCCCAGCGGGACGTACCCGGGCCCCACGAACATGGCGCTGAAGTAGTTGTAGAGGATCATGACGGTCCAGTTGAGGAGCATGATGAAGTTGACGCTGCCGCCGGCCGTGTCCAGGGGCCAGTACCAGAGCGCGGCGTCGGCCATGGCGGTGGCGGAGCACACGGCCACCACGGCCAGCGCCACCGCCGGGCCCCAGTGGCACAGGCGGCGCGCCCGCCCCAGCGCGCCCGGCACCGCCATCCCCGCTACCGCCGCCCGCCCGCCGCTGCCCCGCCGCCGCCGCCGTGCATGGCTCCCGCCGGCTGGCGAGGGAAGGGCCGGGAGCGGGAAGGGATGGGAAGGGCAGGGCAGGGAAGGGGAGGGGAGGAGCGGCGTGGGGTGAGCGGGGCCCGCGCCGCCAGCGCCCGCCCGCGGTGCGCACTCAATATGGGCCCGCCGGGAAACAGCCGGCGCAGCAACCGCGTCCCTGCAGGTTACAGCGCCGCGGGGTTGCGGTGCGGCAGTGACCCATCGCTGCGGTGCGGGAGTGACCCATCAGTGCGGAGCAGCGCGACCCCGCACGCCAGGCCGGCCCAGGCTAAAGCCGCGCCGCTCTAAACCCGTGCCGGCTGAAGCACCTGAGCACGGGCGGAACCTGCGGCGAGGTGGGCGGGGGCGGGCGGGGCGCGTTTGGCGGTGGCGGAACGCGGAAGCGGCGCGGAGCGGTGTCGGCCGGGGCTCCGGCACCGCCGCGATGTCCGCGGACTTCGAGAGCTACGAGCAGGACTTCGCCGTGCTCACGGCAGACATCACCGGCCGCATCGGCAAGGTGCCCAAGCTGGTAGGAGGTGAGCGGCTGCTGCCCGCCCCTGCGGCGCTCGCCCCGCAGGCCCGGAGGGCTCCTGTGTGGGAACCGCGGCGGTCCCGGAGCCGCCGCGTTCCCAGCGCTCGGGGCGGGGGGGTGCGGGAGGGACCGGTGTGTTTTTTGTGAGGTCTCAGTGTTCCGGCACCCGAAAGTGTGTCCTCGCTCCTTCCACTGCAGAATCGGGATCCACCTCCCCACCCCGGGTCTATCCGAGCCGCGCGTTGTCTTACGAGATGTGCTCAGAATACTCTTCAATAAGAAAATTGTTTGCCGGTCACCTGTGAGGATCAGCCCTTGCCTTCTGCCCCGCCGTGGGGCCACGCGAGATTATGCCAGTGCAGCTGAGCAGAGATGGGGGGTGTTCCCTGTGCCATCCTTGCTGCTGGATGCTGTATATTGCGGTCATGCCTCGACATCAGTGATGGAAACCAGGCCTTTTTCCTATGTCATAGACCGATTTTGCGCGTGATTTAATCTGAATCTTTGTTTTCTCTGCTTCCTGTTCGTGCATTTGATTTGGATAATTGGCTGGGGTGACTCACATACAGAAGCAGATTCAAAAGGAATCAGTGTTAATTTGCTTTAATGTGTTTGTCAGGAGCCTGCAGTGTTCCTGGTCTGATTCGTGACGTGTCTCTGCAACAGAGCCAATTTTGTCTGTAAGAGTGCTAGGGTAGAAAGATAAAAATTTTAATTTCATTAATCAGCCCAGCTGAATCTCCCAGCACATACGAATCAGTGTCCCAATAGAGGGGTCTGAGTGTGAGACAGAGGGAAGGTGACACTCGTGGTTTTGTCATCTGCCTCTCTTGTAACTCACCTTAGTGCCTCTTCTGTTTCCAGGTCATTTAATACTTCTGCCTCTAACATACATTTCCCAAACCTTTAGGAAACTTACACCATAGGAGTGGACACTGTATAAGGAGGAAATAAACACATGCTAATGGTATGTCAGTTTTCTGTATGACTAAAGGGAAAAGTATCGTGCATCCAGGACCAAAGAATAGCATCCTACTTTTAGAGTAGGAAATACATCGTGAAGTAGTGACTCTAAACAGGATTTGAGGTAGGTGATCAACCAAAATGTGTGATCTTAGGGGATTTTGAGTAAAAGCCTCTTTGACTCTGGAAGGTTATGTCCAATTCTATTCCTAGCAAGTTAGAAAGTCTTCTGAAAAAATTGGGTTCAGTTCCATGGTTAAAGGACAGGAAACTGCCTTTTCCTTGGCTTAGCAAAGCTGTTTTGCTCTTGATCTTAACAGAAAAGACACAGGGATATAGTTTCCAAGAAGCTGCAGCTGAGGTGAAAAACTTCGTCCATTTTCTAATGGAAACTTACAATATGAAGAAGGGAGAGAAGCAAAGAGTTCCTGGGATTGAAATTTAGAATTGGTGTAATTTAATCTGCTCATAAATTATGTTTAACTGGTAAATGTGCACTAGAAAAATTTACTGAGAGAATGCACAAAGGGTTCTTCACTTGTAAACAGTAAATTTAAAGACCTCTTGTAGGAACAGGGAGACATTATAAATACACTACTGGCTCCTTTCTGAAAATCAATAGTGCTACACTGATTTATGGAAAAAGAAGAGAGATTTAATTTCCTAATAGTAAATAATAGAGATTTAAGTTCCTAATTGTATAGATTTTGGAAGTTATCAGTGTCTGTTCAGTAGTAAGAAGAATATTCTCCTTACTAGTAGTGGATTTCCATAATCCTGTGCTTAATCAGTCTCCCTTATTCACTTAGAAAGACTTTTGATCTTACATGCCAGATGTTTAAAGAGTATTGGCTTTAACAGTGCCATAGTCTAGAAGCAGCAGGCTTTGAAATCATCATTCTTTTATGTGACCATAACAAGGTTGCTTTTTCTAGAATTTGCCATCCTCTCAGAGGAGAAAGAATACATGTTCCCTGCAAGACCAGTACTGAGCTAAATGGAGTCTAAATAACACAATGGTAATTTTATTTTTTTATTAAGAGATGACTTTTCCATGTTGGGATTTGAGGCTGGTGATACATGGTTCAGACTGACTTTCATTATAGCTGCTTCTTGCCCAGTACATTGACAACTGAGGCTTTACTTCTGGTTTTGGGGCTATTCTGTCTTTCATCAGACAAAAATATTTTCTATGACTTCAAAACAAACTGCAGACTTAGCTAATAGAGGCTTTTGACCACCTGGGGAAAAAAAAAATCTCTGACTATGCTGAACACTTTAATCAGAAATATTTTAAATACACGTTTTTCCCTTGTTTCTTAATAGGAATATTTGCAAGATCTGTTTCTTCATCACCAGAAGTTCCAGTTAGTTCTTGTGGAGATGGCTGGGAGATCCTCAAAAAGAGGACTGTGAGGTGGGAGGGGGATGTGAGGTGACAGTTCGGAGCAGCAGTGATTTGAGACAGATTGCTGATGGCCTTCTTCCTCCACGCTGGAAGAAGCAGGATGAAAGGTGTAAGGACTTGTGCTGTTCTGCATAATACAAAGAGATCTCCTGAAGTCTAGTGACTGGTTTATTTCCCTGTGCTGCTCAAGATGGACCTGCTGTAACCTTCCTGCTCGGTTGACTTGGAGAAGTACTGGTTAACTGTTTTTGCAACATTCCTGTATTCTGTGTTGTCAGGACGTGATGTCTTGTGTTCTAGCAGGATAATGGCTCAGCAAACAATCCTGCTGTCACAAATGCATAAATAGTTCAGCAAGAAATGTAACAAAGGCTCTCTGATACTACAGAAACAATAAGCAGCAGGGACAATAGAATATCTTGGGAAGAAGTGTCTTCTGTTAAGGCAGACATCATCTGGAGGATTAAAGAAAGCGTTATAAATAGAGAAATGCCTTTTAAATAGATTTTCTGTGATGCTGCTGCGGGTCTTTGAAGAATGAAGATAATTGACTGATGTGTTTTATTAATGTTCCTCGGCATTTCAGAGAAACATCTCTCTTGTGATTGGACCAAAAATTTATCAAAATTTTGATTGCTTGATATGAAAGAGAGTTTTACCAGCACAAATGGTGATACTTAGTCTATTCCTAGCACAATAGACTCTGGGCTGTGATGGTTTTAAACTAGAGTGCTGCCACTCTTCTGATACTTGATACCTGCATTTTCTACTGGGCAATCAAAACATTGTGTTTCAGTCTCTAACAGGTTTAGCTGAAGAAAGTCCCACCTTTAGTTTTCTGTTGTACCCCTGTGCTGAAGCTTACTGTCTCCATTTCAGGTCTGGGTCATTGTGTTATGCTTCTGGAACACAAGTTTATAACTCAGAGAGAAACATGTGTATTGTTCCATTTGTCTCTGCTGTTGGACAGTAACTTCTGGCAGTGATGAACATGTAAATCACCTGAGCCAACACAGCAAAATCTACAAGTGGTCTGTGAACTGAAGCCCTTTGTTACTCAGTCTCTTCCTCAGCATGCACTAATAAAAAGAAGCAATTCCCCAAGAAATGGGACTACTCAGTCTTGATCCAGTTTTTTTCAATCTCTTCATTGGCTGTCAGATCAAACCAGTGCTGTGTTAACTTTCTGCCTTTGTAGGCAGATTCTCACCTTTCTGTAACTGCTGTATTTTAGGGTACAAAAAACGTGACTAATGCCAGGGCAAAGCTGAAAGAACTGAGGAAAATATAGTGAAAGCTTGTTTCTTTTAAGAAAGTGATACAACCTTGTGTAGAAACACAGAACGGATTTTTGTTTGCAGTCCTACACAGAGGAAAACCGCACTTTTGTTTCCAATCTTTATATTTATCCATAGTTTGTCAGTTTGACCCGTTGAATTATACAAGCTACATACAATATTATCTTTAGGGCACTCTGTCTAGCAACTTGGAGAAAACAATTAAATTTAGATGTATTTGATGGAGCATTGTTTTTTATTTTCTTGAAAGGATATTTCAGTTCTGAATCAAGACAAAAAAGTTATTTAAAAAAATTTTCTTCATTTCTTGTGATGGAAGTGTATTAAAGAAATAATCAAGTTGGCATGTTGAATACTAAGTCACGGTGGACTAATACAGTTGGTAATACGAGGATTCTTAATTGGATAGTAGCTTGTTTGTCCTGATCCACTAGATTAGTGGCAAGCTTCTTTTACTCAGAGTAACTCCCTTGCATCTCATTTTCAACCTCTGAGCAAGTCATCCTGTGAATTTTGTGCCCTCCTTCCTCTGGGGATTCTGACTGTGAAATAAGTTCTTTCCTTTGCTTAGCCATGGAAGTAAAAGTAAAGTTGAAAGTAAATGCTTTGAAAACCATTCCATAGACTGCATGGTATTGTGTGCCCCAGAGGGTCAGCAGCTGCTTTCCTGGGAGTCTGTGAAGATACTTCTCCAAAGCTGCCGTGCCGGGATGTTGTCATGTGCCTCTCATACATCTGTATTTGAAGGAACAACAAAGACCTGTTGTCACTAGACCTCACTCCCAGCAGCTGCTCTGCTCACCAGCTGGGTGATTATGTGTTGGTAAATCTGCGTTGATGTTGAAATCTGGAGTTGGGTTAAAGTTTAATTAACTAAACCATTGGATATCATTTGAATACCACCACCTTGCCCCCCAATTTTATGGGAGCAGTTTCAGCCAGATCTCCCTGTGTGCTGAGTTTTCCCTACCAAAGGTCTGTAGCTCAATTTCTCTGTGAGTAGGTAAGGTCTTACTGGCCAGTGGAATGCTACGTAGTTCTTGTAATCACAAATACAAGAATTTGCACAGCATGAAATGCCTTCCAAGAAACTCCAACTTTATATCCCTAAATTTCAGGGTACTAAATGTCTGTGGAAATTGTAATCCAACTCAGGGAAATACTGAAATTGCTATAGTACATTTATTTTCTGATGCTATATTTTAAAATTTTATTTCAACTTCAATAAAACAACATTGTGTATTTTGTATCTTCCATTGTGTTTATTTTCATCCACAGTTGTCTTGCCAACTTCTAAATGAAGGAAAGAATGGAGGTGTTTTGGGATGCTGTGTAGGAGAACGGAAATGGGGGGGGGGGAAAGGTGGCAGATTCTCTTTTCTCTTGGGTTTAGTTATTTTAAGAAGATATATCACTAAATTTTATGACTTGGGCGCCATCATGAAAAGTTGGTGGGGAATTAAAGAAAGACATTGCTAGCAGAAATCTAAAAGTGCTGCACAGAAAATATTTCCTGCAGCTTCTGCTGTAGTGGAATCCACCAGACGTGGCAGCATGAATTCCAGATTTGCAAGAGAGATGATCCTGAACCTGATCCTCTCTGCTGGCAGAGCTCCAGTGTGTGTAACTGAGGAAGGACAGATTGTGATGTTCATGTTTCCTTAAACAAGAATGTAGGGAATGCTAGGTAAAGGAAAAGATAGAGGGTTAGGCATTTCAGCCTGTGACCAGCTAAATTATATGTAATTAATAAAGCAGTCCCCTCTTGAAGTTCGGTGTCTTGTGGCATGCAGAGGATCAAAGGAGATCATCAGATAGTCCCTTTTGGTCTTTAATGTGTCCGTTCCAGGATACAAAGCGATCATGTGGAAGAGAAACAAAGGAATTCAGACTAAAAAAGAAAGCTGACGTTTAAAGATACATGATAAAGTCTTGTGCCAGTGTTGAGTTACCCATCACGATCTCTGAGGAGCTGTGATTGGAGACACTTTTGTGCAATTCACTTTTTATCTGCTTCATCAGGCAAAGCACCAGCACAGATGACTCATGATACTCTTAGTTTCAAACAGTATTCTAAAGCGTTGTATGTTCAGAGTTGTGTTGACTTCATTAAGACAATGGGTGGATTTACTGTCTGAAGGATGGAAGATGCGGCCATGAGAGGGGCAAAAGGCAGTGCCAATGGTAGTACTGAAACCCCTGAACACCCCTTTAATTAATGCCACAGTAATTAAGGAATGTGGGGACTTTTTATTATCCAGAGTCTGAATATTCCTCAGAAAGTCCCCTTTCATGGTGTAACAAACCAAGTCTTGGTCAAGCAGTTGGAGTATTTGTGATGATGTGACACTGAATCTCAGTCCTCAGTTCCTGTTGGATTCTCTGCCTGTGAGTGGATGGTTGGAGGCAGGTCAAAAGTCAGTCTCTACAGCTGGGACATGGACCTGTTAGGGAACCTAGCAGGTGATGATCACTTAAAACTGATTTTAATTTCTAAAAATGTTCATATTTTGTTACTAATTTGCATTTTTACTGCTACCAGAAGACAGTGGTTTTCTTGTAGTTCCTGTGGCATTTTATTTGGTTTCTGTTGAAGCAAAAGAAACAGTTACAGACCCAGCGTAGGAGCAGGGGAGTAGAAACCTAATTTTTCTTCAGTACCTGGATTAATTTTAAGTGAGATGCATGACTGTGCATCTCATATTTTGCAAATAAATAGGTTAGCCTTTGTTCTTAAACTGTATTTTTATTCATTTAATGTATGTATGTGCCTTCTCATGCATTTGTGCACATCCAGAAAGTGCCAGCTGAGGCATAACTGCTACACCTGGAGCAGCTGGAAGTGCTTTCCTAACTAGCAAATGCTGCATAACAGAGCAGAAGGTTTCAAGGATTCTCCAGTCTCCTTTTTTTTAAATTACTATAGTGGGTATCCCCATGTGTGATGATGTCACAGAATAAATCTCTTGAGTCGGTTTTTGCTGATCCATATAAACTTTTGAAATGGTATATTTTTCTTTCATGGCAAGAGCACAATTATATTGGTATTTTCACCATTCTATTTCAGATGAGAAGAAGCAGATGGTTGCAAATGTTGAGAAACAGCTTGAAGAAGCAAGGGAACTGGTATGTTCTGCCTTTTCATATGTTAACTGCAAATTCCTAGCAAAAATAACAGAATCACTAAAAATGGTAACATTTAACATTCATGCCCTAAAAATACTTAACAATAATACATTAGAAAACAATATTCTTGAAATAGTTCTTATTTGAGGATATGAAATATCCAGTAAAAGTGTATCCATTTTTAATCTTGGGTTCAGTGATGCAAAGTTTGCCCAATTGCTGTAAGTCCATACAGAGTTACAGGCTTTGAGTTGTGGATTAGGTATTTTACTTTCAGGATTGAGTGAAATATTTATACACCATGACTTTGTTTTTTGCTTGTAAGACCCAAGAATCTACTTGATTTACTCTGTCAGAACGTCTTCTAGAGCAATAGATCTTTTTTCTCTTTTAGTAAGTGAGGCATGAAGGTGAGGACGAGGGGGCCATGGTAGGGTGGGTCACTGATCCCAGAAGTGTGTTAACCAAGCATTAGTTAGTGGTTCACACTGGCAGGAGAGAGCAATATGAGATGAGCAACATGTTTTAAGCAACTGTGACTTTTTTTTAATTTCTTTTGTTCCCATTACAGCCTGTCATCTCTTCTATTTGGATGGAGAATAAAAGTAAAGTTTTATAGATGTGGAGTAACTGAGCCAAGGTGTTGGTGACAGTTGAGATTGACTTCTTCCCATATGGCAAATAGTTCCTTCCCTAAAGTTGCTTTTGTCTATTGCTTGCAAATAAGTTTGGTCTATCTAATGTCAGAAACGTAATCTGAGTGTTAGGATAGGGAAAGAAATAAATTTTTCTACCCTAGACGTTCTTATAATGGAAAGAACGTGAATCAATTATTTGGTTATTAACTAAATAGTATTGAAATTAATTTTTGAAGTGGCAAAGGTAGAAAGAGGCCTTTCTTTTTCAGGTCAACTGCTTGTTGGCATACCTGGTGTTTTTGGTTCAAAAACAGAATTAGTCTTGCAGACCACAGTATGGAAATAGCATCCAGGAAAGCTGGGTCTTGGGGTGACTCTGCAATTCTGCCCTATGAGGATGATAAGGCACCTAACCTCTCTGATTTGGTATTTTTAGTGACAAACATGGAAAAATTACAGTCCCACCTCATGATGTTCTGAAGATACATTAAGGCCTTTTGGGCACTTTCATATTCATACAGCTGAAAGAAAGTAGAAATCTAGAAATGTTTTTCATCTCCTTTTCACTACAATTTGACATGGCAAAAAAGCAGAGCAGTACAGGGAAGCTCTAGCATGAGTGGTCATTCAAATTTGGATTTCTACTCAGAGTAGATTGGAAGGAGCAGAAATTGAGTTATTGGCTCCTTACTTCTCTTCTTATGTCAGAAAAAGATCATCGAAATTTATATTTATTATAAGATTAAAAAATAAATCCTGTATCTGTACTTTTATCCTAATGATGATCTTCATTTAATATACTGGCTTTTCTTTCATGCTTTTGTTTTAGATATTTAGATTCAGTTATTGTCTTTAAGCAATTATCTAACGTTTGTGATTAATGTCAAGGCTTGGGTTTAGAAATCAATTTGAACAAACCTGCTAAAACCAGAGCTGATTAAGATGATCCTCTTTTAAACTAAAGGCTACAGCAGAAAATCAAAATAAACCTAATTCCTTGCTACTGATAGTTTTCGTTCACTGGTTTGCTTCATTGCCTAGAGTAGTCAAAGCTGGGATTAGCTGATCTTGTTTTATTTCCTATTTGGCTAGGAAATAACACTCTCATGTATTATAAATATTATTGTAGAGATAATTTATTTACATTCACTAACCAGTGATTGTTTAAAACACTGTCTGCTTTGTTTGGGTAAAATCACTGGTGTAATTGATTTGATCTATGTGCAGAACTGACACAAGAACTTTCAGCCTCCCAGGGTGCCTTTTCAAGCCAGAGCTGTGGAATGAGAGATCTCTGGAGAGAAATTCTGTCATTCTACATCCAGTGTGGAGTATCTGAATGTTATTTTTACCAGGTTTTTAAGAAAGGTGAATGTTGTGCTAACCTTGAGCATAAGATCTAGTGTGTTCTAGAAGAGCTGGAATGAGCATTTTTGAGTGAAATTCTACTTTAAAGAGTAAAAAACTCTCTCTTGTTATTTGCCTTTATGTGTTATGAAAGACACCACAAAATTGTTGTGTTGCAAAGGCTTGGTTATTCTAATCTAGATATTTGGCTTTTTAATTTGGCCAATAAATTTAGCGTTGCAAATGCTAGATTATTCTTATTAGACACTTAAAAAAGAAAAAAAAATTAAATCTCTTTTTTAACTCCAGCGCTTCAGAATCAGAATAAAATAGCAAAGCTTACAAGTTCCGTAAAATGCTAGCAGCTGTCCAGAGCAATTTCATATGGAAAAGTGCCTGTGGGAGGGGGACACTTATTTGGGGGTCTCAGTGGAGCACACTACAGTACTTTGTTTTGGTTTTGAATGGAAGTATCAGGGGCTGCTCTGCTTTATTCTGTATTGAGTGCTGAGTGCTGTTAGGAGCAAGCCTACCTGGTTAATCTCGTGAGGAGCCTTGAGGATGCAGTTTATGAATTTGAGTGAGAGTTGGGTGCCAAAATGCTCAGCTTCACCACAGTGGTGGTGTTGTGGTTCAACCCCAGCCACCAACTCAGCACCACAGAGACACTCACACTCCTCCTGCTCTTCCCTGCCCACCTGTGGGATGGGGGAGAGGACTGGGAAAGTAAAAGCAAGAGACCTTGTGGGTTGAGATAAAGACACTTTAACAGGGAAAGCAAAAGTTGCACGACAAGCAAAGCAAAACAAGGAATTCCTTTACGCTTTCCTGTGGACAGGCGTTTTGCCATCCTCAGGAAAGCCAGGCCCCCTTCACGTGTAAGGGTTACTTGGGAAGACAAATGCCATCACTCTGAATGTCCCCCTTCTTTCTTCTTGCCCCAGCTTTACATGCTGAGCATGATACCACATGGTCTGGAATATCCTTGTGATCAGTTGGGATCAGCTGTCCTGGCTGTGTCCCCCCAGCTCCTTGTGCACCCCCAGCCACCTGGCTGGTATGGAAGTACAAGAAGCAGAAAAGGCCTTGGCTCTGTGTATGCCCTGCTCAGCAAGAATGAAAACATCTCTGTATTATTATCACTGTTTTCAGCACAAATGCAAAACACAGTCCCATACCAGCTACTGTGAAGAAAATTAACTCTACCCCATCCAAAAACAGCATGTGTCAACTTTGAATATAGGCAGTAACAGAAGTTTGAGCTTGTAGGTTTTCTGAAGAAAACTGGAACTTCTACACATGTTTTGAGTTTTAAGTGCCAGGATATTTTGTTGGCTTAAAGTAGATTTTAGCTCTGTTCTTGCTTGTGTATGAAAAATATGTACTCATTTAATCTCATGATGAAAACCAAGGTGTTAAATATCAGTCAGCCAAAAGATATGTGTTTCATCATTGTTCCTTGGACCTTACACTCACTAATATTGACACTTAAGAATTAACATTTTGGATTTCATGGGCTGTGGTCTGATCGTTTATGCAAATTCTGTATTCACTGGATGATGTTTTCATTTTTATCTAGTAAGTAAGAATTGGACTTCATTAAAATATTCTGACCTTTCACATATAATTTTATATATATATATATATATGAAAGAAATGTTTTCTATGTTTCTAGAGCATTTGAGATCAAATATATTGTGATGAACTTGATAAAAAATGCGCTATTAATTCCAGCAATTGGTTTAATTTGCCCCTTTGGAAAGTTAAGCCTGAGCCAAAGAGCTGGGTAGAATTAGAAATTGCTTTGTGAGTTTCAATTCACTAGTGACCATTTAATTCAAGTCTGCTTTACAGTTTACTATTGAATATCATTTTGTATAATCAGAATAGATCAGGCAAAATGACTTTTAAGTATCTGGCAATTCCACTGATTAAATTCAGATGCTTTTCTTACAATATGAGAATGAAGTTTCAAAGTGTAAGCAAGTGATTACATAGGAATAAACTCCAGCAGTCCCTTGTGAAGACCTGTAACCAGTTTGGGACCCTAACCAAAAAGCATTTCTGTTCCCATGCCTTATCGCTCAACCAAGATCAGTAGGAGGTGAGTAAATACTGTTTCAGGAGCCTACAGCAACCAAGGAGAGGTCTTCTTTTATCTTTCTTTAAGTAACTTGGAGAGATTTTAAAAGGCGGATAAGGGATTCTTCAGCTGTGCAAAATGAATTCTTGAAGAGACAGCACCATATAGGGGAGGCTTCATGACCCAATGGGCAGGTAATTACCAGCCCTGGTTTATAACTTCTTTTGATTTTCTGTACCTCTGTGCCATATTGTTGTGTTTCAGACTGCTTAGTATTCTACATGGCAAGAATAAATTGAAGAAGCTTTAAAAAGATATATTCTCTCTCTGGTGTTTGAATACATTCAACTGTGTACAACTTCTTGAGTAGTATTGTCATTAAACCCTGAAATTCAGCTATATAATATACTTACATACAGATTTGGGATGTAGATTTAGGAAGCCAATTCAAGCTTTGTAATTCTGCTGAGTTAGCAGTATTTAAAGCAAAAAGGATTAGTTTATTAAACATAGAGACTGGTGGTAAATAAAACTTTAAGCATTTATATATATACATTTACATATACGTGTGTGTGTGTGTATAAATAAGTAAAATATATTTTTCAGCCAAGCCTTTCCAAAACTGCACAGCTAGATGGAGGTAGGCTTTCTTCTGAACTAATTTGCAGGAATTACTTATCCTCAGTTTTACTATTTTCTTGTAATAAAATGTATTCATCACATTTGAAATTGAAATCCAGAACTGTTTGACTAGAATTATTCCTTCTAAGTGTCAATAATATTAATTTTGTCACTTGTTTGTTGGCTTAAGGTTGTGTAAAGATTTTGATAAATTCTTTATATGTTAAAGAATAAACAGCATTTTTCTTTATAAAGAAGGAATATTTCTTAGTATTTGGGGAAAACTTGGGTAAATTCACTCTTGCTTTAATTAACCTTTTGATTTACCTGTCTGCTCTTTGTTTTGACTTGTCAGCTTGAGCAGATGGAACTTGAAGTTCGAGAGATCCCACCTCAAAGCCGAGGGATGTACAGCAGTCGAATGAGAAGCTACAAACAAGAAATGGGAAAACTTGAAGCTGATTTCGTGAGTTTTTAACATATTACATAAAGAAGGCATTTATGAGAATTTTTAAAATAAAGTAATGCAGTTATTCAGGCAAATGAGAGGTATTTTTGACTAGTGTGAGAGATGAGTTCTGTTAGTATCTTGCTGTATATGTGGACAGATGAAGAACAAACTGGGGAAGAGAAGCTTCTCTTTTTGTAGCAATCCCATACCAATATTCCAGTTTCTAGCCTTCTGTCCCTTTGCCCTGGGTCTCAGTTTTTTCTCTGTCATTAAATATCATGAGTGTTCGTGATGTATGCAAAGTAGTCAGCTTTTAATCCTGTTTCTCAAGGAACGACAGCTTGTAGTAATGTGGGCAGTAACATAAAAAGCAATATAATCTCCAATTTGTGGAATTTTTGAATGTAACTTCTCTCATGTGCACTTCATTTGTTACTCACTGTGTTTTCTTTTCCGTTGCACTTAGATTCTTGGCTTTTGTACAAATTGGTTATAAGTACTACATTTTTTGAGTAATGGATGCAAAATAACAAGATTCCCTTGTCTAGGGGCTTGTGCTGCAGTTATCAGTCCTTTTTTGTGACTGGGATTTGCACTGAATAGATTTACATAGAGACAAAACTGTTTCCTGTAAAATCCTGAAAAAGTTCAAAGGGATTGCAAAGCGTAGGAAAAAGCTATGTTAATTGGCAGCAGCTCAGTTCCTCCAGGGTAGGGAGAAAGAAATAACTAGTGGCAGTATTTTCCATTTACTAGAGAGCTGTGAATTTCCTCAGGTTGCTGGCAGCAGTTTAATCCTTCAGGGGGTGGGGAGTCAATGTTTATACCTGCAGCCAAGAAATCCAGCTGACTGTCACTCTTCTGTGCTTCTGCCAAGTTGAGGAATCGCACAAATATGTATTAGCTAGAAGATGCTTGCAGTTTGTAAAGTTTGAAGAATGTTAGAATAAGAAGACTTGTGTCTGAATTTTGGGAGAGTCTCATGCTGTTCCACTGTAGGAATTGCATATGGCTGAACAGTGGCTTCCCAGAGAGAGCAGCTTCTGGACCAGTAGTGATGCTTTTTTATCTTCTAAGATGTGGGAGACTTTACTGTCAGCATATATTTGATGCTGGCCTATTTCTGTAAGTAGGCATATGGTGGAATTCGTACTTCCATATTCCCAGGCAGTAGCGAATGAGAGAGTTCAGAATTGGACATGGTGTGGAAGAGAAGAAATGAGTGTGAGGAATTGCATCATAGCACTGGAAGTTACATGAATGCAAGAATGTTCTCAGAGTGAAGAAACAAAGCAACGCAAGAAAGGGGAAGAAGCAGATAGTAATAATGGGTAAACCCAAAGCCAAAGATCTTCAGCAGAAGATCAAGGAGAAAAAATGATATGAAGGATGGAGCAAAGTACTGTAAGAAAACAGCAACTACGCTTGAAAAAAAAAAAACTCATATACCAAATAGTGTTGTTACAATGCCCTACAATGCCTTAAATGCCCTACAGAGTTCCATTTTTAAATACTAACATTTTTCTGAGTTTGTATGTGAGAATTTAAGAATCTTTTTGGATTATTATCCAGACACATAGTAACTTGTTGGAAACTAGATGACAAAATGATTCAGTTGTGAGTTCAAAGAGGAAAAAGGAGGAAGAAAAGGAAATACTGTTTTTAGTGTATAAGCTGCAGGGCTCTCAAAGGTAGAAAGTTAAAATATTTACTGAAGTGGAAGTGCTTTTGAGTGTTCTACCTGAATATTGTCCTGAATGAGTTGTGACCTGTTTGACTGTAAGCAAAGCATACTGAGTTTATGTAAGAACCTTAGCAGAGCTTTAGAAAAAGCAGACCTAACTACCTACAAAATGATTCACATTTCTAGATGACTAGAAATAATACTGACAGTTTTGGGTTATGATCAGCTTACAGGTTTGCTGGTCAAAGATCTTGGCTCTTCTAAAAGGCACACTGATGTGAGCTTGCAAAGTTGTGTTCTTTATAAATGGAGTTGTAATCTCAGCTGGATACCACTGTATTTGGATTGACCTTTCTTCCCATGTGAATTAGCATGTAAGCAGAGCAGAAGACATTTCTCAATCATCTTGAAATGTGTGTTTCATTTTAAATGAATTTCAAAAATCATATTCTTCCATACACAGTCTTTTTCATTAAGTTCTATTTCATTGAGTTCAAACATAAAGTGAATGCAGAACTGGCACTGGTACTTTTCTTTTATATTCATCATAATAAACACGAATTTTGACCTTGTGGTTATTTTTATGCCTTATAGCATCTTGCAAATTTGCCCTCACCCAAGCTTTTATGGAAAACGGCAACATAGCAACATGTTTAAAAGTTAGGAGAAGGAAACCTGAGGTATGTGGATTGCCCACTCTTTACTTGCAGGATGGACAACATTAAGGTTTATTTATGATGTTTAATAGCTAAATGGTGAGTTTATTTTATCTTAAGCAGTATGTATAATAATGACAAAATGCTATCACTTTATTTATTATATGCTGTGACATCTTTATTAATTTATAGGGTTTCTTTTCTATACAATTTACTATGCTGAAGTATATTCTGAAAAATACAGGTTTAAGCTGTACTTAAAAAAGTTACTCCAAACATGAGGTTTTTATCTCAAACTTTGTAATCAAACAAGGACAAGTTGCAAATAGATTTATTTCCTCTCATTGCTAATCCTTGTTATTTTGAGAGCTAACTGCTCGCCTGCAGTTAGCTATCAGTGCTCTGCAGTCCTGGGATGTGTGAGAAGCCAATGACATCTACACTGTGCACTGTATTGCACATGAGTGGTTGTAACCCACTAATTGCAATAAATCATATCTGAGGAGAAAAAGCCACATTGTGCTATCTTGGTCCTCCCTCTTGAAGAAGAACAGTGATAATGAAAAAAAGAATAGCTCAATTTTGCCTTTAAAAGTACTCGGAAAGCACTGTGAATATCGATGGTGAAAATCCCCAGAGCCAGCATTGCACCTCAACTTCAGGCAGCAGTGCTTCCTGCTACTCTGCAGTCTTCTGCGGGGAGCAGCTGCCTGGGGAGAAATACAAGAGTAGGGCAAGCATAAAGTCACACTTCTTTGCAAAATGCCTGTATACATCTCAAAAGGCCAAGTTTCAGGCTTGTGATAAACATAGCAAAAGAGGATAAATCTGATAAACCCTATGCTCTGCTTTTTAACTTGCAGATGTAAATCTTGGTTTTGTTATCTCATTTTCAATAGCGTATACCAGCACCTCATTTTTTATAGCAGGGTTTTGGTCCCGGTGGATCAGGAAAGTGGCATTCCCGGACCTGCGGGGGTCCGGGGCTCCTGCCCTGCTGCGCTCGCCGGGCTGGACAGCCCGTGGTACGGGGTAATGGCTCTATCTGGTGGCCCCAAGCGGAGTTGCAGAACACATACTTGTGCTTTCCGGGTTGATTCAGGTCTTAGCACCACCTGCTAAAGAGTTCCTGAAACTTGAAACAGTCTTCCTATAAGCGGGTCTTTTTCCTCCATCTACTAACTCACTATTGTGTGGTCTAAGCTTGTAAATATTTTTTTCTGACTATTTCAGATGTAGAATGTCCATGGTGCCCGCTTGCATGAAGTAAGTTCCGAATGAAAAAAAAAAAAAAAAGTCTTTTAAGCTCCTGGACTATAGGTGTGATTATTTTTTCAAATTAAGCGTTTTTTTTGTTAATTGTTACCTGAAAGCAGCCAGTGATCTTTAAACACCGGTAAAAGGCTTCCATATTTTATAAACATAACTTTGACCTAAGTCTATCCCAGTCCATGTGAAAATGGGACTATATAAACTTAGCAAATGTGTGGTTATCTGCTAGCATTTGTATCCATTCCAGGCATTTCATGTACTGGCTCAGTGTCAGGACATAGAAAAAAGCAAAGGCAGGCATTCATCTGAAAAACTTACAGCTGAAGTGTAAGGCATTCAAATAGATGAGGAAATATAAAAATCCAGTAAGACCACATTATACAGAAATATTCCTATTACAGAAACAAATACTACGTAATCAGTGTTGAAAATGAGGTGAGTATATTCAACAAGAAGAAATAACCATCAAATAGAGGAAGCGGCATAGGAACTGTTCCTGTTCTGTTGGCAGCACAGAGGTAAATGTAGCAGGTAGCATTTGTTATCAGTCCAAGGGACAGTGCTCATTCGTTTTAAATTCTCAGAATTGGTACTGATCTTGGTTATTCTGACTTCCAGAATAACCTTTAAAAGCAAAAAAAAAAAAAAAGGCGAGGGGGAGAAATTAAGTAGACAGATACGTTGTATAAAACTTGACTAAACATTTAAACATTTTGGCATTTAACAATAGCTTCAGTTCAGTCAGTAGTGAAGATATATATTCACATTTCATACCTCATGCAGGTTCTGTTTAAGATCATTGTTAAAATGTCAACTGCTGTTAAGTTTTAAAAACATTTAAGGAGATAAGCCATGGAATTTCATTTGATAAAGTTATTTATTCTTGTATGACACTCAAGTATCACCTGAGTCCAGAAACTCACCTGGACAACTGCTACAGCTGTGTCTCTTATGTTCTGGCTGCTAGTAGCAAATACTGCTACTCTTATTTCAGGTTCAGTCATCTATCCAGACAAATATTGTGAGCATAATGAACAACATTTTTCAAAGGACAAGTTAGTGGCCTGTATCTTTATGGCCAGAGTCTTCCCTAGCTCTCTGCTTTGAACTAAAGCTCTAGAGGCTAAACTGTGGCTGCTGGATTATTTTGGTTTATAAAGCAAAGCTTTATTGCTTTGTAGTTACAAATCATAAACCATGTGTGGGACTGGTGTGTGTGCATCTTCATGGTTGTACCCCAACAATGTTATTAAAACCAGGGAACTCACCATGTGAACATGTCATGTATGCACAAGCACCCTGCCTGGGCAGGTTCATGTGCCTGTAGTGACGCTTGATCTTGTTGACAAATTTGAAACTCTGAAATCAGATCAGTTTTCACCATGTGAGTAGTACAGCTCTTT